TTCAGTACCTACTTTAAGAGGCAGCACTGTACCAGTCTCTCTGTCATCCAGAAGCTGTCTAGGATTAGACAAGTTCAAGAAACCTGAGGGAAGCTGGGACTGTGAAGTGTGCCTAGTGCAGAATAAAGCAGATTCTACCAAATGTGTAGCATGTGAAAGTGCAAAGCCAAGCACAAAATCTGAGTTTAAAGGCTTTTGCACATCTTCCTCATCTTCAAACCCAGCCGCCTCGTCCTTCAAATTTGGTTGCCCATCATCCTCTTCTGGGCCTTCTCAGACTTCAGCAAGCACTGGAAGTTTTAAATTTGTAGATCAGGGAGGATTAAAAACAGGTGTGCCATCTGATTCTGGGTCTATAAACCCCATGAGTGAAGGCTTTACATTTTGTAAACCAGTAGGAGATTTTAAAATTGGAGTTTCATCAGACTCTAAATCTGAAGAAGTTAAAAAAGACAGTGAGAATGACAATAATTTTAAGTTTGGACTTTCTTCTGGTGTAGGCAGCCCAGTTTCTTTAACTCCATTTCAATGTGGGGTGTCTAATCTTGGGCAACAAGAAAAGAAAGAGGAACTGTCTAAATTTTCCCCTTCAGGCTTTAGCTTTGGTACAGGTATTACCAACCCCACCCTTGTTGCTACTAATGCCGTCGTGACCTCTGAGAACAAGAGCAGTTTCAACTTTGGAACCATAGAAACCACGAGTGTTTCAGTGGCTTCTTTCTCATGTAAGACATCGGAAACAAAAAAAGAAGAAATGCCTGCCACCAAAGGAGGGTTCACGTTTGGCAGTATGGAAGCTGCTTCTCTGCCATCTGCTTCAATGTTTGTTTTGGGAAGGACAGAAGAGAAACAGCAAGAGCCTGTCACTTCTCCTTCCCTAGTTTTGGGGAAGAAAGCTGACAACGAAGAACCAATGTGTGAACAGTTGGGAGCTGGCCACGGAGGCCCACTGAGCATTAGGGATCAGGGAGGGTCATGGACCTCGAGACCGCTAGGACGTGTTCGGAGGCCGTAGACCCCATTTTCCTCCCCCTTTTGCCATGCAGCACAAATAACCTAAAGGAACTCTGCTGGCCTAAGCTGAAGGCTCTGTGACTATGACAGGCACGGCTCACTCTAGAAACTCATTGTTCCTGTTTCCCATAAACTGCGGTTTCGGCCTAGGTATTAGATATAATTCAAATTCAGGTCACATTTGGGAGCCTTTTATACGGTACAAGCTTCTTTATAAGATTTAAAAGAATATTTATAGAATTAGTATATACTTAGGGAGAGCTGTTTGCAGCTTTTCAATGGTGAAGATGATTTTCGAGAGTGGCCCAGCACAGAGTTTGGGCTGGGCCACATTCCTGAGAGCCCAGCATGTACTTTGGACTGGGCTGTATTCTTTTGGGCCGGCTTTAGCTACAGTTAGTGTAAGGTCTCTTTTCTACCTTTTATAGAAATTGAATTTATTTTATTCATAGAAGGTATTGTAGAATAGGGCATGCTACGAATCATGTTAGTTCATACATAATCAATCAGAATATTTTTAGGTTTAATAAGAATATAGTTAACTTTAAGAATTTTCATTGTCTCCACTTTCTACTATCGAAGTTTTTGCCTTAGTACATTTACAATTTACATTTAGGTTTTAGAAGCTTTGCTGCTGCTAATCAACTTTATATATTAGAATTAAGAATTGGAAAACTTTCATAGAAATTAGGATAAACATATAAGACTTTGGAATAGCCATTTTGTTAAGAGATTGTCGTCTATTGTTCCAAAAGGTGGCCCACCGTGGACCTTGGACTGGGCCACATCCTGTAGGGCCCAGTGTGATCTTTGGACTGGGCCACATTCTTTAGGAAATTGGCTTAAGCTATAATTAAGAGCTTCTGCAGCATTGTATAAGTGGTAGAGTTTAATTTAGTTGTCATGGGTATTGAGTGAGCTTTAGAAGTTATTGATTATCAGAACATCATTAGACTAGTAAGGATTGTTACACTGCTTTTGAAGAACATTAACTAGCAAAGGGAACAATGAGACAATCTTGGGGTTTGTTCTTCCTCACATCTAAGCATCTAGTGGGTAGGGGATGCCCCCCCCACACCTGGCTTTGTGTTCACGTGAAAGACTTGTGAGACTGCCTGTCTAAAATTTGGGGATAAATACCTGCTGTAACTTTCAATAAATGGCTTCTGCTCATTTCACTGAACAGTTGTCCACTTCCTTTCTTTCGCCTTCTTTTAATATCTATCCCTACAGATTCACCGACACCACCGCATCTTCCAAGGGACTCCCCAAAATTTGCAGGGGCTGGCCCCCCGCAGTGAACAAGTGTTTTCCTTTGGGAATTCAGAGCAAACCACAGATGAGAGTTCTTCACAGCCCACATTTAGTTTTGGTATGGCAGAAACATCTGAGATGGAAATTGAACAGCCAGTAATGGCAGAAACATCTGAGATGGAAACTGAATAGCCAGTAACTTTTGCTTTTGGAGCTCTAACCAATACTACAGCTGATCAAGGTGCAGCAAAGCCAGTTTTTAGTTTCTTGAACACTTCTTCTAGTTCAAGTACACCAGTGACTTCTGCTGGTGGTGGTGTGTTTGGTAGTTCTTTCTCTTTCTCCAATCCACCCGTGGCTGCCTTTCTGTTTGGATAGGCCATCAATCCTGTGAGCAACTCTGCCTTTGGTAACACTGCTGAATCCAGTACATCTCAGTCTTTGCTATTTTCTCAAGTTAGCAAGCCAACAACCACATCTAGCACAGCTACAGCTGCCACGCCATTTGTCTTTGGTTCAGGAACCAGCAGCAATAATACTGCAGCCTATGGTTTCAACTTAGGACCAACAGCCACATCTAGCTCTACAGGATCCTCCTTTACGTTTGGAACTGGACCTTCAGCACCATCTGCCAGTCCAGCATTTGGTGCTAATCAGATGCTAACATTTGGACAAAATCAAGGTGCCAGCCAGCCTAATCCCTCAGGCTTTGGATCTACACCATTCACAGCATTACTTTCTGCAGGTTCTCAGCCGGCACCACCTACTTTTGGGACAGTGTTAAGCCATAGTCAGCTTCCTGTGTTTGGTCAGCAACCTAGTCTGTCTGCATTTGAATCTACACCGTCCACAGCATTATTTTCTGCTGGTTCTCAGCCAGCACCACCTACTTTTGGGACAGAGTTAAGCCATAGTCAGCTTCCTGTGTTTGGTCAGCAACCTAGTCTGTCTGCATTTGGATCTACACCGTCCACAGCATTATTTTCTGCTGGTTCTCAGCCAGCACCACCTACTTTTGGGACAGAGTTAAGCCATAGTCAGCTTCCTGTGTTTGGTCAGCAACCTAGTCTGTCTGCATTTGGATCTACACCGTCCACAGCATTATTTTCTGCTGGTTCTCAGCTGGCACCACCTACTTTTAGGACAGTGTTAAGCAATAGTCAGCTTCCTGTGTTTGGTCAGCAACCTAGTCTGTCTGCATTTGGCGCTGGAACAGCTCCTAATTCCAGTCCAGCTTTCCACTGTGGCAGCAGCACTACAAATTTCAACTTCACAAACAATAATCCATCAAGAGTGCTCATATTTGGTACAAATGCTAGCACACCTGCAGCCTCAGCCCCACCTTCTGGCTCAGGAGTCTTTCCATTTAACTGGACTTCAGCAGCATTCACAGTAAGGTCAAATAGGAAAAATAAGTTCTCTTCTTCTGGAACTTCAGTTTCTGGTCGCAAGATAAGGACTGCCATTAGACGCCAGAAATAAAGGCAGATTGGTGTTAGCACACAGTTTTAACAACAGCTAGTGTCATTTTCAGACTGAACTGGACTGTGTGCTGTGGTTATCTGAAGTCAGATGTACCTATGGACTTATTTAATTTGGAAACTTTCCTCCTTTTTTTTTCTTTATAGAAGCCGCATCCGTACCTCACCCACCCTTTTTTGAAAAATAAAAGTCGGACTGGGGACTGATTCTTCAGCAAAAATATTTTATGATCCAGCAGATTATTCACTAATTTGACATAGTCTCATTATACCCAAGCTAGAGCTCACACAGAGAATAACTTTGTACAGAACCTCTTTGCGCCACTATGTGCATTGATAAGAATTTATGGACACATTGGAATTGTCATTTTATCTGAGGAATTCTGTATAGATTAGAATTCTGTATAGATTAGAGGATGTTGAAATGAATGAGTTCTATGCCATGTTTGTGCTAGTGTATATGTGAAGTCATGCACTAAAATCTTTTGATACAGGAAGTCTGATTAAAGAATGGTCCGTGCTAAGGACTTGCTATATCTAGTTCATTCTCCATTTAATAATTATATGCTATTTCTATATTTTCATTCTTCTATCATCTGTTTTGCCTTTTTCATTATTTTATTATGAAACTTATGTAAATACAATTTTGTTTCTGTACTTTTTTGCATAACATAAAATCTGTGAACTTGAAATTTGAAGTTTTGTGTTAGAAATTTTTTTGTTTGTTTAGTCTTGTCTCAGTTTTTATTATGTAAATCCCATTATTCAAAGTTGCCTAAATCCATTTGGAAATCTTTTTTAAAAATTGGGGATTCTTAAAGTTGAATTTATTGACTTTTCTGATTCAGTTTTGCTTGGACCATAAACCAGTATTGAACAAAGTATCAAGCATATATTTTTATATTTACTGAAATAGACTGTGACGACTTTGGATAATAAGGAAAAGTTTAATATTAAAGCCATGTTTATTACAGTATAATTAACATGTTAAACCATGGGATAAATGCCATCAATAAAAACTTATGTTGTAGAAAAAAAGAAAAGAATCACAAGCAAAGGAGATGTGGTTCCCTTCTCCCCCACCCCCAACCTCAACCCTGCTAACAATTTTCAAGACTTAAATCAGATTATTAGGCATATGATGGGTAAAAAGCTCTCTTTAATACAAAGTACAATTAGCATTATCTTATAAAAGATATTGGGTTATAAAGGCTAGAAAAACAATATGTATCTGAAGAAGCAATTAAAATGCCTCAAGGTGAAACTGTCAGAACTGCTTGCAGTTCTCTCTGAAATCACTACTTATGTACTCAAGCAAAAAGTAGTAAAATGGAATCAGCGTGCATAATTTAGTAAGGAATTGTAACTATTTGGTGAATAATACTAAAACAAACCTTAACCCAAGTTCACTTCTCAGCATAATTTGTGAGGCATTTCCAACCTCTCTAGACAACTCACACATTCTGCAATAGGTTTTACCACTGAATATTTTGTTATTCTGTTCTCTCTTCTACGTATGTCCTTTCTTAGTAGTGGGTGCCCACACTTTACCAGTACGATGACCACATGTGTACCTAACCCTGAATTAGTACTCCACATTTCTAAAATAAAAAAAATGTCCTTTCTCACCAGTCAGTGCATGCAAAACTAACTCATCCTTTAGGAACAAGTTCAAATGCTACTTAAGACTTGAAGCTTTCTCTTATCCTCCATCTAGCGTAAACTCTCTAAAAAAGTCAATATTTCTTTCCTGCACACATTTTAATAGTAGCAACTGACATTTATTAAAAGATCACAATGTTCCATATGCTGTACTAAATTCTTCATATACATAATTACCAACATAAAATACTGTGCTGTTTAGTCCCCAACACAAAACTATGAAGTTGCAACCATTTTACAGAGAATTTGGAAGGTGAAGATGGTTAAATAACTTGAGAGTTGCACAGTTACAAAGTTGAAGAGTTTGCATTCAAACTCCTACCTTACAGCCTTGTAAGTTCATTGCACTGTCATCCTGTATGAGGTTCTTGTACTTTTTTTAATCCCTAAGAATGGCTGGCACCATGTATGTCACATTGTGAAATACAAGAGCTATTCAAAGGATGTTATCTAGGTTGAAGAGTGACCAAGTGAGAAGAGTCTATGACACACAAGATTATGAGACAGTCAGAGAACACCAGCAATTATCAAGGAAAATAGAAAGAAAATATATTTTCTGAAATAGAATATACTCATTTTGAATAGTCAATTAAAACAAGGCAGGCAAAGTAATCATCAGTCAGAGATACTAAGGGCAATTATATAAAAGGATAAAAGACACTCAGGAAGAGAAAGAAAAAAGAGAATAACTTGCCTGTTCATTTTATAAGGCATTAAACTAACCCACCAAGTTGAGATTCACTTAATTTCATATCTTGGAGAAACATTACAGGTCAAAGAGTCTAATTATATAATGATTTTAGAACTCTCCACAGTATACCTGATGAGCTCCTGCCAGGCCCACCTTGAACTTGAGCTAATCAAACTTCATTTTTTTCAGCTTAGTGAAAAAACAATTGGAATAATCTTAATTAAGACACTTAATTCTTTTTTTTTCTCTGTTGAGTTGGGGTCTTACTCTGTGGCTAAGGCTGGAGTGCAGTGGCATGGTCACGGCTGTCATAATGTCAATCAGCTGGGCCCAGGTGATCCTTCTGCCCCCGCCTTCTGATGAGCCACAGGGACTACAGGTGGATGCCCAGCTAATTTTTTGACTTATTGTAGGGACAAGGTCTGGCCATATTCCCCAGGCTGGTCCAGAACTCCTAGGCTGAGGCAATCCTTTCCCCTCAGCCTCCCAAAGTGCTGAGATGAGAGGCACGAGCCACCGTGCACAGCCATAAACTTCATTCTTCATGGTTTTCAGTAACTAAAAGTGGCATCTGAGACTAAAAGTGAAAATCCATGTTTTGAGCTCATTGTTGAATTGTGTACAGTGAGCAGAGAAGGAAGCCTTGCCTTTTCATTTCCAAACAGCCTGGGGAAAGGCAGGAGGCAAAGTGGGGCCTTTTCAGGAGACTGGGGCTAAAGTAGCTTTGTCCTGAGGCCCTGAATATCTGGTCAGTTAGCCTGGGTTCCTGATCTACGCACAGCCTGTGCAGAAGAGAGTGTTCCTCTCTAGCTAGCCTTCATCCTTTACCCAACAAGTGCCCACAAAAAGCATTTCTCAGAGCTGTCTGCACAGTCCAATTCCTTAGACTATAAATAATAGGGTTAAGGAGAGGTGTCACCACAGTATAGGTGACAGCAATAAGCTGATCCAGCTCAAGGGAGTAGCTGGATTTGGGCCTTAAGTACATGAAGGAGGCACAGCCATAGTGAATAATGACCATGGTGAGGTGTGAGTCACAGGTGGAGAAGGCTGCCTTCTGCCCCTCAGCAGAGGATATCATCAGGATTGCTGCCAGGATGTAGGCATAGGAGATGGTAATGATGAAAAAGGAGCCCAGGAGGACCAGCAGACTGAGAATGAGAATTCCCAGCTCACTGAGGCCTGTATCCCCACAGGCTAGGCTCAGCAGTGGTGGGGTGTCACCAAAAAAGTGTTGAATTTCATGGGAGCTTCAGAAAGAGAGGGAGAAAATAACTAGTGTCATTCCCAGCCCAAAGAGGTATCCACTCAAGAAGGAGATACCAACCAGCTGGGAACAGAGGGTAGGATTCAGGTGACTTGCATAGTTCAGTGGAGTACAGATGGCCACACCTGTCAAAGCCCATTACAGACAGAAGGAAACAGTTGGCACCGGCCCATGAACCAGAAAAGAACATCTGGGCAGCACAGCCCATGTAAGAGATAGTCTGAACCCCAAGAGCCAGGCCAGAGAGCATCCTGGGGAGGATGCCCAAAGTGTAGCAGGTTTCTGAGAAAGATAGAAAGGAAAGGAAGAGGTACATGGGCTTGTGCAGGTGGCTATCCAGCCTGATGATGACAATAATAAAGACATGGCTGGTCAGGGTGACAAGATACAGACACAGGAACAAAGCAAAGAGCAGGAGTTGCAGAATCCAAAACTGGTGAAGCCCCAGAAGACAAAACCTCTCCAGGAGGTCACATTGACCTGCCCCATTCTGAGTGACATCTCTGTTAGTTTTGCTGATTTCTTCCACCTTGCCAGAAAATGCTTAGCTTCTTTAAAAGTCTGGATGAGAAGGATTTGTCTTGTGCTTGTTGTAACTTGAAAAAGAAATTCTGATTTAGACTGCAGTTAAACTTCTGAAGGATATTCATCACAGTAGACACAAATGCATGGCTCCATTTTCACATGCATTCATGTGCATATACACTTACACAATGCTCACACACATTCACGTGCACACACTTTCACACAAACATATATGTACTATGTGTATATGAGCACATAATTATGCACATTATACATTCAAAACCATCCGTTGCATATTTACTATAAATAACCATATGCACAGATATATCAGACATGCACATACACTGCAAACATGAATAGCACACAAGTTTGTAGATACATACACTACATATATGTTTATACTGACTTTGAACATACACTGCCACATAAGACTACACATATGGACACATACATCTTGCCTATTAGAATTTTGGGTTAAGGTAGAGGGGCTTGACAGATATTATTTTATAGATCAGGTAACAAAGGCCAGGTGAGGTGAAATGACTTTTTTGAAGTCACACAGAACGAGGACTAGAGAACAAATGTGGTAAGTTCTAGTCTAACTTGATTTCACCATATAATGATGACTCTCTTCCAAGTCATTTTACCCTTTCCAAATTCCTTGGGCTGAGTAGGGCAGGCTCCTTTTACACATGAGTCTATGCTGAACACCAAAGGAATCATCAGGGCTCAGGGTAGGTTTTGCAGCAAGTATCCCTCAGCTCGAAGCTCAACCAGCAGGCACTGCTGCCTCCCAAAATTCTGCTCTGAACCAAAGCATAAGAGAAATACAGCATGGGAGAATTCTCCCCTCAAC